ATGTTCCATGTGTACTTGAGAGGAATTCATATCCTGTTGGTGGGTGGTATTCTGTATATATGTGTTAGATCTAGATGGTTTATTGTGTTAAAATATCTTCCTGTTGTAGTGAAACCTTTATATATTAGTCCTTTGTCTTTTGCAATCTTTTTAAACTTAAAATCTATTTTGTCTTAGTATTAGTATAGACACTCTTGTTCTCTTTTGGATACTCTTTGAATATATTTTCCCATTCTTTCATTTTCTTAAAAAAATTTTAAAAAGTGTTTATTTTTAAGAGAGACAGAAAGTAAGCTGGGGAGAGGCATAGAGAGAGGGAGACACAGAACCCAAAGCAGGCTCCACAACTGTCAGCAGAGTCTGATGCAGGGCTCAAACCCACGACCTGTGAGGTCATGACCTGAGCCAAACTGGGACACTTAACCAACTGAGCCACCCAAGTGCTCCCCCATTCTTTCACTTTCAACCTCTTTTTGTGTTTGGATCTCAAGCAAGTCTCTTGTTGGCAGCATGTAGTTGCATCACGTGTTTTCACCCATTCGTCCAATCTCTTTTGATTGGAGAGTTTAATTCACTTCCATTTAAAGTAATTCCTGATAAGGACAGATGTACTCACCATTGTGCTGTTTTCTATATGCCCTATAGTTTTTCTGTCTCTTATTTATTTCTTGCATTCCAGTTTTCTTTTGGGTCTAGTCGATTTTTGTTTCTTTCTGTGGTAAAATGTTTAAATCTTTTATTTCCTCTTCTGTATACTCTATAGCTACTATATTTTCTTTTTGGTTACCTTGGGGATTACATTTAACATAAATAAAGGTATAATATTCTAACTTGAATGTATAGCAGCTTAACTTCAGTAACACACACTGCTCCATTACAGATCTGTCCCCAATCCTTTTGGTTGTCAACACCACAAATTACATTAAATTTAACTTAATTAATTAAATCAACTAAAATTACATCTTTACACATTGTGTGTCCAAATACATAAAGTAATCATTCCTTTAAGTTCATTAATTTCCTAAATTATGTGGAAAACATATTTGGAGTTACATACCAAAGTTATGGTAATATGAACTTTTACATTACTATTTTTTATTTTTAAAAGTTCATTTATTTATTTAGAGAGAGAGTTTGTGAGCACATAAGTCAGGGAGAGGCAGAAAGAGAGGGAGAGAGAGAATCCTAAGCAAGCTCTGCACTGTCTTTGTGGAGCCCAATGTGGGACTCAAACTCACTAATCGTGAAATCATGACCTGAGCTGAAATCAAGATTGAGACTCTTAACCAGCGAAGCCACTCAGGTGCCCCGGTTTGTTTGTTTTTTTTTCCCCTTAAAAATGCATTATTCTCAGGGCTCCTGGGTGGCTCAGTTGGTTAAGCGTCCGACTTCAGCTCAGGTCATGATCTCACAGTTCGTGGGTTTGAGCCCCGCGTTGGGCTCTGTGCTGACAGCTAGCTCAGAGCCTAGCACCTGTTTCAGATTCTGTGTCTCACGCTCTCTCTGACCCTCCCCTGCTCACACTGTCTCTCTCTCTCTCTCAAAAATAAAACATTAAAAAAAATTTTTTAATGCATTTTTTAAAAAATTTTTATTTATTTCTAGGAGAGAGAGAGACAGCGTGAGCAGGGGAGGGTCAGAGATAGAGGGAGATACAGACTCTGAAATAGGCTCCAGGCTCTGAGCCGGCAGTCAGCACAGAGCCCGACGCGGGGCTCGAACCCACCAACCGCGAGATCATGACCTAAGCGAAAGTCGGACTCTTAACCGACTAAGCCACCCAGGCGCCCCAAATGCATTATTCTCTTAAATCATGTAAAAAAACAGTGCTGTTATAAACCATTGTTATAATACCAGCTTTTAATTTTATTCAGAGAAAATATAGGCCTTTATTTTTCAGTAGAATTTAGTGATTCATCCAATGCTCATCCCAAGTGCCCTCCTTAACGCCCATCGCCCATTTAGCCCATCCCCCACCCAGTACCCTGCCAGCACCTGTTTGTTCTCTGTATTAATAGTCTCTTATGGTTTCTCTCCGTTTATCTGATTTTTGCTTCCCATCCCCTATGTCCATCTGTTTTGTTTCTTAAATTCCACATGTGAGTGAAATCATATATCTTTCTCTGACTTATTTCGCTTAGCATAATACCCTCTAGTTGCATCCACGTTGTTGCTAATAGCAAGATTTCATTCTTTTTGATTGTCAAGTAATACTACATTGTATCTATATACTGCATCTTCTTTATCCATTTATCAGTTGATAGACATTTGGGCTCTTACCATACTTTGGCAATTATCGATAGCACTGCTATAAACATTGTGCTGCACGTGCCTCTTCAAAACAGCACACCTGCATCCCTTGGATAAATTCCTAGCAGTGCACTTGGTGGGTTGTAGAGTAGTTCTATTTTCGGAAAGGGGCAGAGAGAGGAGGAGACACAGAATCTGAAGCAGGCTCCAGGTTCTGAAAGCTAGCTGTCAGCACAGAGCCCAGTGCAGGGTATGAGATCATGATCTGAGCCAAAGTTGGACACTTAACCAACTGAGTGCCACCCATGCGCCCCGGGTTTTAATTTTTTGAGGAACCTCCACACTGTTTTCCAGAGTGGCTGCACCACTTTGCATTTCCACCAGCAGTGCAAAAAGGGTTCCCCTTTCTCTGCATCCTTGCCAACACCTGTTGTTTTCTGAGCTGTTAATTTTAGCCATTCTGACAGGTGTGAGGTGGTATCTCATTGTGGCTTTGACTTGTATTTCCCTGATGATGAGCAATGTTGAGAATCTTTTCATTTGTCTGTTAGCTATCTTGGATGTCCTCTTTGGAGAAGTGTCTGTTCATGTCTTTTGCCCATTTCTTCGCTGGATTATTTGTTTCTTGGGTGTTGAGTTTGATAAATTCTTGTTAGATTTGGATACAAACCCTTTATCTGATAGTCATTTGCAAATATCTCTTTCCATTCCATCAGCTGTCTTTTAGTTTTGCTGATTATTTGCTGTGCAGAAGCTTTTTATCTTGATGAGGTCCTAATAGTTCATTTTTGCTTTTGTTTCCCTTGCCTTTGAAGACATGTCAAGTAAGAAGTTGCTGCGACCAAAGTCAAAGAGGTTGTTGCTAGTTTTCTCCTTTAGGATTAAAAAAATTTTTTTTTTTAACATTTTACTTATTTCTGAGAGAGAGACAGCATGAGCAGAGGATGGTCAGAGAGAGAGTAAGACACAGAATCCGAAACAGGCTCCAGGCTCTGAGTCAGCTGTCAGCACAGAGCCCAATGAGGGGCTCGAACCCACAAACTGTGAGATCATGACCTGAGCAGAAGTCGGATGCTCGACTGAGCCATCCAGGTGCCCCTCCTTTAAGATTTTGATGGTTTCCTGTCTTGTTTAGGCCTTTCATCCTTTTTTTTTTTTTTGGTTTATTTTTGTATATGATGTAAGAAAGTGGTCCAGGTTCATTCTTCCGCAGGTCGCTGTCCAGTTCTCCCAATACCATTTGCTGGAGACTTTTTTTCCATTGGATGTTCTTTCCTGCTTTGTCAATGATTAGTTGGCCATACGTTTGTGGGTCCATTTCTGGGTTCTTTATTCTGTTCCATTGATCTACAGGTCTGTTTTTGTGCCAGTACCACACTGTCTTGATGATTACAGCTTTGTAAGATGGCTTGAAGTCCAGGATTGTGATGCCTCCAGATTTGTTTTCCAACAGTATTTTGGCTATTTGAGGTCTTTTGTGGTTCCAAATATTAAAATTGCTTGTTTTAGCTCTGTGAAGAATGTTGGTGTTATTTTGATAGGGATTGCAATACCAGCTTTTACATGTATTTACTTTGGGGTGCTTGGGTGATTTTGTTTGGTGTCCAATTCTTGATTTTGGCTCAGGTCATGAGCTCATTCATGAGATCTATCCTTGCTTCAGGCTCCACGCTGAAATGGTGGATGAGTAACCTGCTATGGTTTGAATAGACTCATCGGTTTGAATTTAGTGCATGTTGTCATTAATGCTAGGGTCTCCCAGGATTGCCAGTCATAAATTCTAATGCACGATGCTAAAAAGGCTGAATACATGTGGATAAAGCTCTTCATTGGACACTCCTCATTTCTGGAGTGGATGCAGTCTGCCTTCAATTACCCAGGTCACAGCTGGGAAACCACCTCTAGCTAGCTATCCTTAATACCCCTAGCATGTGCATTATTTGTGTAGAAAAAACATGCAGGGGCGCCTGGGTGGCTTAGTCCCTTAACCATCTGACTCTTGATTTCGGCTCAGATCATGATCTCACAGTCGGTGGGTTTGAGCCACACATTGCACAGACAGGAACCTGCTGGGGATCCCTCCTTTATCTCAAGATAAGTTAAAAAATGTTTTAAAAAATCATGCAAGTAAAGCTAATTATTTCATTTTCAAATAATTTAGCCGCAAAGGGGTAGAAGTAAAATTCAAACCCAAGGATGAAGCAAGGAGTTCAAAGGGATAAAAGATAAGGTCTCTGGAGCCTGCAGTGACCTATCTACAGATGCCTGTAGTGCTACTGGAGATAGGCTCGTCACCATCCCACCTTTCTTTTGCAAAACACGTGACCTCTCCTTTGGCCTTCAGAGTATGCTACCAGGAGTATCTGATGGAATATGCTACTTGGGAGGACACGCATGCTTGGGTTTTACATATTTACTAGAGGGCAGTTTCTCAAACTGAACCTTACAATCAGTTAAAATGGTGGCATGTTCAAAATCCTCGTTTCTGATTATGGTGTTCATCTGTGCAAAGATGCATCATCCCGTCACCTTTAGTCTCACGCTGGTTTCCAGCTGTCCTCAGAGCAAGGAAGACAATATGGCCCCCAACCAATTTTCTGATGTCACATGTCTTCATTTTGGGCCCCATGGTTTTCCAAGCAAAACAACTTTTCCTGAAGACGACGGAGGCAAAACCAAGAATGGGAAATTCGTGTTTGGTTTGGTTGTTTTTAAAATTTATTTGAGGAACACAAAAAAGTCTATCTGAATGATGTTTTTAAAAACAAGTTTTAATTCATCATATGCTGCCTTACCACTCCACATGCGGTCTAAAAGATGGTTCAAAGACACCTGATTTCTAGACAAATGAAGATTATTCAATTTGATACAAGAATATAGGACGTTTCTTCTTCTCGAGTGGCAATGGGCACCCACAATCGTTTGCTCAGATCCACCTGTATACCCCCCACCCCCCCACCCCTGGCTGTGACCCATAACACACACTTGGGAGACAGTTGGCTGGGGTGATCTGATTTTTGGAATTGTTTGTTACCTGCAAAACACTAACTGGCCTTTATAGGATGAAATCTCAGTTTTGGCCTCACTGGAGTCATGCTCTAGTCAACAGAGCTACAAATACTAAACAGTTAAGCAAACAAAGCAAAATCAACTTTTGCTTTTCATATTTCCTAGGCGAGACTGGGGCGTTTGAAGAAATCTCATGAAAAGAAAAAAAAAAAAAAAGACAAAAGTGAGGAACTAAAAGGATTCTAGTTTTCAAAAGAGAAACTCACAATTTCATTCCATTTGTTCCATGGAGCAGAGAACTGGTAGAAAATAAAATGATTTTTTTAGGTTGCTGTATGGGTCCTAACCTAACAAAAGTGTTTTGTTAAAACCTCCGTAAGAGTAAAAACGAAGTTAAGTGCCAGTGTTCTTTAGGGTTTTACACAGTGAGATGTTCCAGGTTGGAGCGGCAGTTTCCTCTGGCTGCAGACACACTCCCACGAGCGCTTTGGGCTGTGGGGAGAGAAAGCCACGCTCCATCTCGCTTACCCGTAAGGACCCAGATTCCGCTGTGTATATACGTATTTTAAGACTTGCCCTGATTCACTGCCCCAGTACTGGAGCTTTTAGGCGAGATGTGCCTGCACAGGAAGCGGTTTTCGGTTCTTTTTCACAGCCCACAGCAGAACCAAGGAGCTAGCAGCAGCAGGAGAGAGCTACTGAGTGCCGACCTGCGAGGAAAACCTTCATGCACAAGGAGCAACGACTTACTCTTACGGTTCCACAGACCTTGTTTTTAAAAATTAAGCTACGCATAGCAGTAGAAAGTCAAAAAATTTTTTGCATGATAATAGAGGAGTGTAAATAAAGTTCCATAAATCAGTATACAGGTTTATGAGGCAGTAATTTTTAAAAGACCAAAAAAAAAAAAAAAACAAAAAAAACCCCACATGGATCCTGAATGGATAAATGGATACGTAACTAAATCCACTCCAGGTCAGAGATATTATAAGAATAAGTCTTAAATTCTTAATGGCAATGGTTAGAGTGGAAAGAAGAAAGGAAGCGGTAGCTGTGCTACATTCCGCATGCCTTCTGGGAAGGGCCAGAGGAGGGGAAAGCACAATTCTCATGGCTCTCTTCTCACTCTGGCAGCTCAGAGCTTCATGTCAGGCAGGGAAAGCTGGCCCACACGCTCCCTCTGCTCATTATCGTTGCTGAAGGATGTTTCGGGAACAGCTGGGTACAGGAGAAACCCACTCTCTCAGGGAGGCTGGCTTAGGGAGGAGGGAGTTTGGCTCCGTCAGCAAGCAGGTGGCCTCTGAGGTTCTGGCTTTCAGGTCTGGGGCTGCCGAGGCCCCGAGGGGATTCCAGACCCCTCAACTATAGGCTCTGTTGGTTAAAAATGCTAGCACTTCGGTCACTGAAAAAAACCAAACCCTCTCCTCCGCTCCCCCACCCAACTGTAGGAAAGGAGAACTCCATTATGCATTTGTTTTTAGGTTTCTGCAGTGCTACTGAAGTTCAATCGAATGTAAAACCTAACAGATAGCCCCAAATTGTCAGGATTATCTCCAAGGACCTTGAATTAGATCTCGCAGGTTGACATACAATGAAATGAGCTGGACTCGAGCTGCTGGCTCAGTCTCGCCACACCAACAGCCATTTCCATTTTGTTCCACCTGGAGTGGTCCCACGCCCACCCTCCAGGAGAGCACTGGGCAGCAGCAGGGTGGCTGTTTTCTGGGAAGCCACCGGTTTTGCCGTTTGCTTCCAGAATCACACAGACTACAACGAACTTTACATTAAACACTGTTTAGTCCTGAGTAGGGTGCAAGCCCGTGGAGGAGGGGCCGAGTTCATCAGGGCTCTTCCCTCCTTTGCGTGGTGTCATACGTGGCCTCCGGCTCTTTCTTCCATTGCCTGCCCCTCTGTTTCTTTTTCACGGGTGACGACCCCTTCTAAAGTCTTCTTGCCCATTGCTTTACTGGCCTCTTCCTGAGGAAGAAGTAAGAAATCAAGAGGGTCAGAGGAAAAAGGAACTGAAACACTGAAGTGATTCCTGGCTCCTCCTGACCGTCAGGCATGAAATGGGGACATGATGATAACCTTACTGGGGTTGCCAGGCCTGGGAGGTCAGGGCAGCACTGCCAATAGTTCAGAGCAGGCAGCTTTCACCTTTCCTGGGTGACAACTAGCCTGCCCCAGGGACGCCTGCCACCAAGAAGCTGGGAGCAGACAGTACACTCAGGACCAGAGAACAACTCTGCTGGGGGGGAGGGCGGCAAAGTAAAGGGTTATGACACGGGGCTTCCCCATCACAGCCCATCCCTGGGGAAAATGGGATGGGGAAAAAAGTCTCAACAAAGACGTACTATCTGAAAAAACACCTGATGTCTCTGACTTTTAAAAAATAACAAACTTTACGGCACTCGGGTGGCTCAGTCGGTTGAGGATACGACTTCAGCTCAGGTCATGATCTCACGGTTATGAGTTCGAGCCCCCATGTTGGGCTCTGTGATGATAGCTCAGAGCCTGGAGCCTGCTTTGGATTCTGTGTCTCCCTCTCTCTCTGCCCCTCCCCTGGTCATGCTCTCTCTCTCTCAAAATGAAAAAAAAAATTTTTTTTTAAAAACAAAAACTTTAGGATGTCTCTAGGGAACTCATTTTCCTCAATTTCTTTCACGGATGTATCAGTGCCTTACAACTCTGTGTCTGGTGAGTAGAAAAGCCCGGTTCTACTTCCGGATCCAAAACAGCCTCAGATCAGATATCATTCTTCCCATTCTTGTGCATCTTGGGCTGTCTACCTGTCCTTGTGCCCCATGTTTAACCTTTTTAAAAAATTTATTTATCATTAAAAAAAATTTTTTTAATGGTTATTTATTCTTGAGTGAGAGTGGGGTAGGGGCAGAGAGAGAGGGAGACATAGAATCCGAAGCAGGCTCCAGGCTCTGAGCTGTCAGCACATAGCCCGATGCGGGGCTCGAACTTGTGAACCGTGAGATCATGACCTGAGCAGAAGTTGGATGCTTAACCGACTGAGCCACCCAGGTGCCCCTCCAAATTTATATTTTTACAGTGGGGAGGGAGGCAGAAGGTGGGGGGAAGAGAAAGAATATCCCAAGCAGGCTCCACGCTCAGCATAGAGTCTGATATAAGGCTTGATCCCAAGACCCCAGGATCATGACCTGAGCCAAAATCAAGAGCCAGAGGCCTAACTGGCTGAGGCCCCCCCTGCCCTCCCCCCCCCCCCGAAAGATAGTTCTGTGTATACCTTCGCGTCCTGCTCTGCGAACTTCTTGAACATGTTGGCGTATATCCTGCGGTCCCGCTCATTGTGCTCCTTCGCCTTTTTCTGGCACATGGAAATCTGCAGTCGCGCCGCCTTATTCTGGGGATTCACTGCCAACACTTTCTCGAAGTCGCCCTTGGCCGACTCAAACTCGTTCATGAGCAGCTGGGCTTCCCCTCTCCTGTATAAGCCCTTCTCGTTGGCACTGTCTAGTCCAAGCGCCTAGAGACAGATGGTCTACATTTTAGAAAGGATGAGTGTAACCTGTGTGTTTTGAAGAAATTCAGTATTTAAATAAATTACCGAAGCTTCCTGGGCAAGGGAATTGGAAAAAGCGTATTGAAGAGATGAGGCTCAAGGTAATTAAATACTACCGATCAAAATCCAACTAACTATACCCACATTAACTTCTGCACTTAATACAATTTCTACATAGATTCCAAGGGGGCTTTGGGGGGAGAAGCTCTTGAGAAATTCATTTTAAAATTCAACAGAAGAAGTAAATGCCCAAGAATGGCTGAGAAAATTTTGGGAAAACAAAAATAATGAGAGGGGACATGACCTACCACAGAAAAAAATACACTCTGAAAGCACTGAAATTAAAAGTTTGATTGCTAGTCCATGGACAAAAAGGGCAGTGGAAAAGAGCAAAGCATGCAGAAGCAGATTCATGTGTACGTACGTAAAAGATTTAACAGTGGCTAAGGTGTGAATACAAATCGGTAGGGAAAGGACTAGCTTTGCAATACTGGGGCTGAGACACTGGCTATGAACATGGAAAATGAGTTAAGTTGTTACCTCACATCAAAACACAAAAGGTCCCTACAGCCAGACAAAGGGTCAACAGTAATAATGTACAGACTGCCTCAGGCAATATGAAACAGACCAATCATCTAGTTGAAGGATGTGAACAGGAATTCACAGGTGAAATGCAAACGGCTGATGATGAAAAGATGTATAATTTCATCAGTGACCAAGAAAGAAAAATGAAAATAACTTTTTGTTGCCTATACTACTGAGGGGGGAAAAAAAGCCCATGGATAATATCCAATAATCCTATATTTTTAAGTTTATTTTGAGAGAGAAAGGTGGGGGAGGGGCAGAGGGAAAGGTGAGAGAGTAACCGAAGCAGGCTCATATTGTCAGTGTAAAACCGATGCGGGGCTTGAACTCATGAACCATGAAATCATGACCTGAGCTGAAATCAGGAGTTGGATGCTTAACTGACTGAGCTACCCAGGCACCCCTCAATAATTCTATTTTTTGACTCTATATTTCCATTCCTAGAAATTTAGCCTGTAGAAACAATGCCGGAAATATACAGAAGTGACCTGTATAGTCCTCTATGTGAGCAGCTGAACTCTACCATACTCAAGTTCTGAAAGGCTGAAGTGAAATCTGTTCTTATTAAATTGAACACACAAGAGTTATATGTCCAATCTGATACCAAATGCCAAAGATTTAAGGAAGGACATGGATGAAAAAAATCTTAACTTTTATTCATAGCGTATTATAGTCTGGGCATCAGAAAAGTCTAATGTAGCTGTAATCTTTCTGAACTTCCCAATTCATAAGGAGAAACAAAGAATCCCAAGCAAACAAAGGAATATTAACAAAGCAAAATGAAAAGCCCTCCACCCCTTGGCTAAGCAGCAGCAAAGTACAAAGACTAAGTATGGAAATGGAAAAAAAGATCGGGAATGTGTCAAGGCCAGTTCACACGCAGATACTCTTTACCTTATCACAGCATTCGACAGCTTTGGCGTATTCTCTGAGCTTCAGGTAGCACATGGCCAGGTTCAGGAAGGCAGCCAGCAGAAACGATTCAGAAGCCTTAGACTCCTTTTCTGATAAGCCATATTCCATCTCTAACCAGGATACAATCTTCCCGTACTGAATCACGGCCTGCATGTACTTGCCTCCCTAGGGGAGAAAAAAAAAAAGCTAGGGATTACTTGTACAGGGTCGAGAGTGTACCAAATAAATATAAACTCAGGCCTCCCGGAGAAAACTAAATCCTCAAACCATGTTATTTGATCATTTCTTTTTGCTCTTAGGAGACAGCTGTCCAGACCCCCTTTCCCCCTTCTCTGCGCAGGGCCGGTGGCCTGGGAGCTGGTTCAGGACAGTGTGCCGTACAATGCTGTTCTCCAGCTCACAGGGGACAGCCCTCCCAGCGAGGGGGCATCAAGGCTTTGGGTTACATTCTTGGGTGCTGGTATTTTGCAGACTTTGAAAAGGCTGGGAGTAGTTTTAGACTAGATCACTAGTTTACTCGAAGGGTAGTTACTTTTCTCCTTCCTCCTGAGGAGAAGCACTCCACAGTGGACTACGTTCTGGCAGAGACACAGCAAATCTTAGTTCTCTAAACCAGGAGTGGGCAACCTTTTTCTGTAGAGGGGCAGATAAATATTTGAGGCTTTGCAGGCTGAACAATCTGTTGCAAGTCTTGTCAACAGTAGTGCAAAAGCAGCTACGGACAATATATAAATACACTCGATCCCTAAACATGGATGGGGTGCGGACTCCCCATATGGTCAGAAATTGGGGTACATTTATCTTTAAAATAATTTAATTGTTTTATGTATTCATTTTTCTCATCATGACAAGTGCTCTCCTTAGTCTCCATCACCTATTTCACCCATCCCCCTACCCATCACTCCTCTGACAACCATCAGTTTGTTCTCTACGGTGAAGAGTTTGTTTCTTGGTTTGTCTCTCTTTTTTCCCCTTTGCTCATTTGTTTTGTTTCTTAAGTTATACATAAGAGTGAAATCAAATGGTATTTGTCTTTCTCCGAATGGACTTATTTCACTTAGCTATAGTTTCCAATTCTACCTATGTTGTTGCAAATTGCAAGATTTCATTCTTTTTTTAATGGCTGAGTAACACACACACATAGACACACATGCCACTTCGTTATTCATGTATCAATGGACACTTGGGCTGCTTCCATTGGTTACTGTAAACAGTGCTGCTATAAACACAGGGATGCAGGCGTCCCTCTGAATTAGTGTTTTTGTATTTCTGGGGCACATACCCCAGTAGTGTGATTACTAGGCCATAAGGCAGTTCTACTTTCTGAGGAACCTCCATACTGTTTTCCACAGTGGCTGCACCAGTTTGCACTCCCACCAACAGTGCGGGAGGGTTCCTTTTTCTCTACATCTTCCCCAACATTTGCTGTTTCTGGCGTTGTTGATTTCAGCCATTCTGGCAGGTGTGAGGTGAGATAGTCTTGGAGTTCTGACATGCATCTCGCTGATGAGTGTGTGTAACTATTGACTCTCCTAAAACCTAACTACAAATAGTCTACTGTTGACTGGAAGTCGAGTAAGCCAGCTGGGGAGACTGGCCGTGGTGGTGGGGGGGAGCGGGGGGGCTCTGGGAAGACAGAGAGAGAATCGTAAGCAGGCTCCACACTTAGCACAGAACCCAATGCTAGTCTCAATCCCATGACCTGGGCTGAAATCAAGAGTCAGATGCTCAGCTGGCTGAGCCACCCAAGGGCCCGACTGGTTGATCACCACATTGTCCATGTTATTTGTACTATATACAGTATTCTTACAATAAAGCAAGCTCAAAACAAGAAAAGGTTATTCAGGAAATCATAAAATACATTTATGATACTGTACTGAGTTTATAAAAAAAAAAAGTCTGTATATAAGTGGACCAGTGTAGCTCAAACCCATGTTGTTCAAGGATCACCTGTAAATGCGTGTGGCTGTGTACTGGAAGAATGTCACCAATACATGCTGTAGTCTGCTGACCTCTGATCTACACACAATGGAAATAAGAGTTCAATAGCAGCATCCAATAGAAATAACCAGGAGACATAAATCACACGGATGTTAGCTAACTACGGGAGAAAAATCCTTCCCCTAATATATTGTTGTTGCTCTTCAGCGATTAGAATTTGAACACTTCTGAAGATCAACTGTAGAGTTAATTTTATATATACTCTATACCAGAAATTATGGGGGCTGAGACAACGTATTTACTGCCATTTTAAGATGAAAGAAAGAAGTGACAGCTGGTAAGCACACAAATAAAGCCGGAGCACAGGTGAGGAGTCGCCTCTGCAGGAGGTGACTGTTAAGGTGGAAAGCAGAAGTCACATCCTACCAGATGGCAGACTTGAAGCCAGACCCTGGAGGGTATTTGACTGAACGTGAGACCCACGAACAGTGTTCAGATTACGTCACTAGGACCCACTGTAGTCAAAGCATGTATATATCTCAATGTGGAGCCGCCTCCCCACATGCGCTCCAGAGCTCACCCGATGACCAAGAGAAAACTGAGCGGATCTATGAGGATGCTCCTCTCATCAAGCGCTTCAAGTGGCTGGCGTAAGGAGTGCGCTCCGCCTGTACAAAGCAGCCCTGCTGTTGGGTTTTAGTGATGAGGATGGGGTAGAGAAGTTCCACGTGAAAAGCCTAGATCTGAAAGCAGTCAGGCTACCCCCCCCCCCCCCCCCCCGCCGAACATCCCTCTTCACAAGGGACGTTTAGGGAACAGAAGACCTACAGAGCTCACAAGTTCTGCTGCAGAAGGGCAGCGAAAAAGAATTCCGAAGTGTTTTGAAGAAAAAGTATACTAAAATCGAAGTCTACTATCCTCTCTGCCTCAGAAATTTGCTATCTGGGTTATTTATAAGAATAGGGAGACAGGCCCTGTCATAGTAAATGCTGAGACTTTTTAGGAAATCATATTGTATGTGCTATGGACTGAACTGTGTCCCCCAGCCTCATTCACATGGTGAGGGCCTATCTCCAGTGCAATGGTTATTTGGAGATGGGAGCTTTGGGAGGTGAACTGGCTTAGATGGGGTCCTGAGGGCATGGCCCTCACGATGGGCTTAGCCCCCTTGTAAGAGACACCACGGGACTTGCTTCCTCTCTCAACCCTGCTGTGAGCACCTAGGATAGCTAACGTGTGCACATGGCAAGGATGAGCGCTCTCACGACACACCAGCCTGCCGGAACCCTGAACTTGGACTTGCACTCTCCGGGACTGTGAGAGAGAAACTGTTGTTTCCATCACCCAGACTATGGTATTTCAAAGTGGCGGCCCAGGGTGATGAAGAGAACACTAACCTTCTGCCAGAGCCTTAGACCCACTACTATTCCTATTTTGGAACACTACAAAAAAGAAAAGTCCTCACGAGTTACAGGGTTTATCATTTCTTTCTGTCACTGTCTTTTCTCTTGCTGGACGGTGAGCAGTCTGAGGACAGGAAGCATGTCTCATCTCTTTGGACTATCCAAAGATATGTAGCACAAAGAGGCCCTTAGGAAAGGTGGGCTGAAGAAATATTAAGGTCCAAGATACAACTCTGGAATCAAAATGTCCAGATTTTGCTCTCTATCATTGAGAGCAAAAATCGAGATGTGGGTAGAAATGAAAGGTATCATTTCATTGAGATTAGGTAAGAAGGACAGGTATTTTCCCTGTTATGCCTAGCTGCTGCTTCCTCCTCCTCCTCAAATGCACCCAGTACCTTTTCTGAGGATCTCCTAGTATGCTGTTACAGGGGCAAGAAAAAAGCCAGGGAGGACAGGGACCCAGAGCTTATCATTTCAGTAGGTTCTAAATAATGGTATAAGGCTGCGGTTTCAAACCAAAAATCATACACACACACAAAACCCCAAAAAGCAAAAGAAACCCCTATCCCACAAAGAGACTTCACAATATTCCCTTTACATTTATGTAGCATTTTAATTTCTTGAAAGCACTTTCATCTGTATCACTTAAAATTCTTAAGAGCTCAACTTCTGATGCACAAAAATCTTGTTTTGTGGGATTTCTGCTTCGAATGCATGAAAACGAAAGTTCTCAGCTGGGGGCGATTTGCTCCCTGGGGGACATCTGCTGATGTTTAGAGACATTTTTTTAGTTGTCACAACTGCAGGGGTGTGTGCGCTACTGGCATTTGGTGGGTAGGATCCAGGGATGTTGCTACACATCCTATGATGCACAGGGCAGCCCCTCAGCAAAACAGAACGAGATCACTCCAAATGTCAGTGGTGCCAAGGGGGAGAAATCCTATACTAAATGAATGGAGGGAGGAGAAAAAAGGCAGGGTGGAGACTTAGGAGTTTTTTTTTTTTTTAACCTAAAATCCTAGAATTATAGATGACTTATTTCTAAATCACAGCACTGGTTTTTTGGTTCAGCAAAGTCAAAACACAGCAAAGGCCTGTTTGTCTGAAAAGGGCTCAGCAGTTGATCTTAACCAGCTTGCCTGAGAAATGCGTTTTTTCCCAAGGAGCACAAGGGGGCGCAAGAACCCCATATCACCGCAGGGTCCTCAGACTTCCTCGGACGAAACCAAGAACACCAAGAACGAGAGCTAATGCTCTTGTCTTGCAGAATACTATCAGCTATGAGGGCAAAAATCACATCTGTTTAATTGGCTTGCACAATGGTGTGTGGTCATCTGTTATTTTCGGAGCCTCTCCTGCCTTTCTTCTCTTTAAAAAGAGGTTGATATGAGGAGTTTACAATCTAAACAGCAAAATTATTCCCATTTTACAACTGAGTGCAATTCAACTCTACTAAAGGGAGAAATTTACCTACTGATGTGTAAACCAAACCAAGAGGTCAATAAGAATGGAGCTGTAATGCACCAGATGGCACGAGCTGTAGATTTTTATTTCACCCCATCTCTGTTCTCACCCACACATCTGGACTCTGTGCATGTGCACAACGTGCCAAGTCAAACACCCTGGAAAGACGAGGCCCAGGAGGCCAGTGTGGCAGACTGAAACCTGCCCTGAAATTTTAAAAGAGCGTGTATATAGGAAACTACCGGCCATTCTGGAGTCTTACATCTAAAACGAGGATCACTGCTGGGATCTTTTACCTATAATTATGTAATTATGAAGGTGCCTCCAGGGAAGTTGCTAGTAGTACAAAATGTTCAGAGACATTCTGGGAGAAAAGTCTTAGGTCAGTGGTTTTAAACCTTCCATTAATTTCCCCCCAACAGACTAATGTTTTGACAGATTTTGCCTATCGAATTGCATGTTAAAAATAATATGTTCCATATGTGTGACTGCCGATCCAGATTTTGCCCAAAGATCGGTAATTTTAAAAGTTGTTTTTAATGTTTATTTATTTTTGAGAGAAAGGGACACAGAGTGTGAGCAGGGGAGGGTCAGAGAGAGAGGGAGACACAGAATCCGAAACAGGCTCCAGGCTCTGAGCTGGCTGTCAGCACAGAGGCCAACATGGGGCTTGAACCCATGAACCGTGAGATCATGACCTGAGCCGAAGTTGGACACTTAACTGACTGAGCCACCCAGGCGCCCCCAAAGATCAGTAATTTTAAAAGGGTTCACAATATCATGAAATACACAAACCATTATTGCAATTGGGGTGCTTAGAAGTGACAAAGTCAAGTCTGTACGGGCACTGAAGGCTGCTTTCTGTTACCGATCACGGATTCGGGCCAGCTGTGTGTGTGTGTTTAGGATGCAGCTTATAGCACATGGCTTTGCCACATAATTTCATGACCAATGACGTTCCCCAAAGTTCTGAGTCACCGGCAACCAATCAGAGCTTCTGAATAGCTGAGCTGTGTCACTATGCAGAGTGGATAGCATTCTAGTCAACATGCCGGAAGCTTCAACTCCCCCATCCCCAAACTATTAATATTCTATTTAGAAGTTTGGGGAAATACAAATAATGCATTAAGGACTTTTATAGACTCCAGGTATACGGGAAATACCATTTAGGACCTATGGTCCCAAGGGATTTTACAAAAAAATATTGGATTCTCATGTATTGTGTATTTGAGTCTACAAAGAACTCCTGTGGAATCTTACTCGAATAGCTTAGAAGTATCCAATGTTTTTCAGTTAGAATTAAAAAAAAAAAAAATCAAACTTGCTCTCAAGAGTTTCAAACCTCACAGAATTTTAGGGCTAGAAAGTTGGAGATCATCTAATCTAACTCCATGACTTTTCACACATGAAAATAACCTCTTTGGATGTTAAATAGCTTTAAATCATTTTAAGTCATGAAGCCTGGTTGTCCCAATTTGGAGCTCAATCCACCATTCCCCAATGCTTTCTGGTGATTGATATGTTATTTTAGTCTATCTAATAAATAGCTATAAGTTAATATAAATAATTATACATTATCTAAATCAACAGATTTCAGATTTGTTTAGCTAAAACCCACAGCAAGAAATAGGTTTTCAGTTATGATCCAGGACCCACTCACACGCAACTCAACAAATTTTATAGAACAAAATTTATCTCTACTACATTAATGCAATACACTTGCTCTAAATTGGTATCACGACCAAACAACGGGTCTGTTCTTACAGTATGGAAAACAAGAAGCACACTTGTTGCCCTCAGGCTGTGTGACTTCTGTGCTGATTATATACCGTCTCACAGAATTCTGTAGTTGTTTCATTGGAGTTAACTTTGCTTCCCCTCCCTCCAGACAAGGTCGTCCATGCAATAGCATGTCTTAGAGTAGCCACTCCAGAAAGACTGGCTGAAGTACATTTACGCATCACTGTTTTAGACGGTTGAAAGCACCATCTACTTTTGCTCGTGAACTGCAGCCCATGGAAAAAAAGAAAAAAAAAAAAAAGAAATCTTGACAAAACTCTGTTTTTTCACTTTCTGCTCGACGTGGAGAAGATGCGTAGCTGGGGCCGGGGAAGCAACCGGCAGAACATTCTGGTTAGAACGGAATCAAGTGCTGTTTCTTTCTCTCTTATACCTGGGGTTTAAGATCTAGGTGAGAAAGGAACACATTTCTAGATATTACAAGAAAGGACTTTCAAGAAGCAATCAGTAACAAATATCATGCAGGAGTTTCTCAAGATTCCTCACAAAACCAAGCATGGAAGGATCGTCTTGGCCACTGGAAGAAATTAATATTCTCCTCCTGTCAGTTTCTTCTGGAATCTCAAATTTCACTTCCTTTTGCCATGTGCCTTAGGGGCCTCACCAACAGAGTGGAAAGGAAAATGATGTGGAACTTACCTCTATGAATTCTTACTACCCATTATTCTATTCAGTCTTTGTTTCATTCCACAAACACTGAGTGCCAACTACGTACCAAACAAGATGCCTTAGGTCCTGGGTGAGGCAGCGGCAGGTGGATAAGACAGACCTGGGTCTGCCTTTATGGAGGGTTACGATCTAGGGGAGGATTGCGAAAGGGGCTTCTGTATTCCTTTTGTCACATTAATTATCCCTTCTCACCATTTCTATACTGAAAATGACAGATGTGTAAAAATTCAGGCTTATTCTGACCCAGAAGTGTGCTGACAGAATTCAGAGTAAGGAATATCAGCACAATTAATTCACTGACACTTGAATAAATTCTTTGAGACGGAAAAGATTGTACGAGGACTCACACACCTTGAAGTACACAGTTCCCTTCTCTTTGACAATGGCGGCCTGCTCCAATTTTTCTTTGGTGTCCATCTCCCAGGATTCTTTGGCCTGTTGTGTAAATTTGTAACAAGGTTAGATGAACAGAGGAGGAAAAAGCATCAGCTGATGCCTGCAAGAACACACAGCAGCTACTTCTAGGACATCCATGCCTCAAAACACACTGGCTTTTAAACCTGTGTGCTACTGCCAGTTCACCGCTAGGCTGGAACTCACTTTCCACGATAACGGAGCTGCAGTGCGGCCCACAGTGCTCAGGAGGAGCAAGACAGAAGTACGGTGAGCAGTCTAGGCTGTCGTGAGCTGTGAAAGAGCACATCTCCAGAGCTGGCCGGTGAGGGCACTCGGCGAGGCACCTCTCCTCTGCCTCCCGTGCACTTCACCAGTAAGCTGCCGTTACTGCCTGGGCAAACCGTTTCTCTCTAGCCTCGGGGTTTCAACTCTAAAATGTGAACACCATGGTCGTCAAGTCACAGCTGTATATTCACACGGAATTTTTAAATTCCACATCATGTAGCGGTCTCTCTACTCGGAAACCTCTTTGGACCACCAGATAAACTAAAGCTCCCAAACTGTACCGGCTTGCAGACGTAATCTGGGGGACAGCAAGTAAAACCTAACTGGGAGGGTAAAGCTGATGCGGATATATTTCAAAGCCATAAATAAAGGGTTTCGTGACCCTTTCACTTGGTGCTGTGAAGACAGCTTCGGAGGGTCAGAGCTGAGCTGGCAGGTCTTCAGGAGAAGTGACCTGATGACAAGGGACAGTCACGACAGGGCCACATGCTTGCTGCGGGGACATGGAGGGTAAGGGTATGAGCAGGAACATCGCCGTTGGGGGAGAATCCCACAGCAGTCTGACCCTGACTTCCTTAGTCCAAAGTTACAGCCGTCCGGGACAACGGTTTCCCTTCGGCGCCTAATGAGACATAAAGAGTTCCATTTCCAGACGACAGCCTAATGTAAAGACATAGAGGCAGCACTGTGGGAATAAAAAAGGCACGCGCAATGCAGTTCTCGGGGCTCTCAGGGAGGAGTGGGGCCGTAGCCGGACACGAGAACTAGTGCACACACACACTGTGCGTGTGTCGGAGTGGCTGCTGCCAGGAGCCCCCACAGGAGGGCCTGAGACAGAAACAAGTTCATGCTCGTGGACCTCAAGGCAAGTGATGAACTTTTAGACTTGGACAGGAGGGAAAAGAAAAGGCCACAGGGTTGGCAGGTTTGTCTCGTGTCCCTGTCACACAGCCTGGTGGCCCATGGAGCCTTGCCTTTTGGACGGTGCCTCAGAGCCACGGTGAAGGCCCCCTCATGACTCCCAGGAAGGGTACAGTCTGTTCAGTGCTGGAGAACTGCGCCCCACTCCCCCAAGGAGCTGCTTGGCAGAACGTGAACCTTTTTGTCTTCGACCCAGGAAAGAAAGTACAAAAAGAACAAGTCTAGGAACAAATAAGGGAACAAGTCTTGGATTCTACCCAAAAAAAGTAAAAAAAAAAAAAAAAAAGGACTGACACATAGGAACAAACTCAGAACACCGAGCTCCTTCCTTGTAGCTCGACCATGTGGCACCAGTGCCCTGGGAGCCGTGGCCGAGACAAGATACAAACTTCAGTCATGAAAAGCTCCGTGTGCGAGTGAAAACCATCTCTACCCGCACCACCTAATGGGGTAAGTAATTTCCAGAAAGCGCATGGAGAAAAAAAAAAAATCGACCATGACTTCAGAGAAGCCGGTATTTTCTCACCTTTTCGAAGCTCTTCAGTGTAACTTCATATATAAGCTCAGCATTAGGTTCAATGCCAAATTTAGGCTTCCCTGCCTCTCCAAAACCATATCTGAAATGGAGAGTAGAACAACAAAGCTTTAACGAACTGCTATATTTCCAGGCACTTCCTCTGGTGTTCCGAGCCAGCACGTGCACGTAGGGCCACTCACGTCACATCCCACAGGCCCCGCAGACGGGCCAGGTGCTGGCCACAAGCCACAGTGCTGAGTAGCACTGCTGTGTTGAAGAGGCCGGGCTCGATTTAGCTTTCTTTTCTCCTTCATGATCACACGTAATGTAACACCTGTACTCCTCGGGGAAGCTGGCTTGATGTGACTTTAGACGTCACTGCCTTTTCCTCTGCTTGATTTTATATCTAGTTCTTTTTCTAAAGTAGCCATGGCCTGGCCCTGAGGACTTGTCCCCGAAGCTTTATAAGCAGGAGGACCGAGAAGACAGGCACTGTAATGGTTACAGCCTCACTCATCAGAGGCTCTGTTTAATAAGCTTTTCACTTTAAAGCGCAGTCTCCTTCCGGTAGTAGCACTTCCAGTCAGATAAGTGGGGGGAGAGGCTCACACATCAGGAAGGAAATTCATCCTCCCAGTGTTTCTGCAAGACATCTGAAAAGCACGCCAGGACACAGGAATGACATCACAAGTGTATAATCAAAAAGAACGGCCCCAGGAAGCTCTGACACCTCATCAAGAGAAATCCTCTCATAGCTCTGTGGCTATCATACTGCAAAACACTGTACCCTTTAGCCAAAACTTACTAATGAAGATAACTAAGGATATATAAGTTGTTTGCTGTTTTGTTTTGGGATCACTCAAGGTCTTTAAACACATCCAAAGCGGTCCAGAATATCCTAGAATGGAAATTCTGGTGGTGTTTGGTCTGTCCGGTCCAACGGTTTTCCCAGCATTGGGTACATACAACGCACAGCATATTATCAGTGTTCCCTGGCATATAAGAGAAGTTTCAAGCCAAACTACTCTTTTTTAAAGATTTATTTTTTTAAATGTTTGTTTGTTTATTTTTGAGAGGGTGGGGGAGAGGCAGAGAGAGACAGAGAGAGAGAATCCCAAACACGCTCCACGCTGTTGGTGCAGGAGGTCGACACGGGGCCCGATCTCATGAACCGTGAGATCATGACCTGAGCTGAAATCAAGGGTTGGATGCTTAACCAACGGAGACACCAAGGCGCCCCTCAAGCCAAACAACTCTTAAATATATGGAATTGTACTGCAAACTTTCAGGTTATGGGTTCAAAGATGCCAAAACCAGGTTGATGCTAAAACTTCCAAATTTCTCTGAGGTTAAAAAAAAAAAAAAAAAAGACTGGAGCTGGAACACTCCTATTTTGCTGTTCGCATCACTTTCTTTACCCCTTGCCTGAATTTTTCAGGAAGAAAATGCTTACTCACCTCCACTATTACACAAGAAAAAGAAAGCTGGAGCCAGAGAGAGGCACAGAGACACAAAGAGAGCTGGTAGGAATGGGGTGTGGCCATTTTAATAGCAGGGCAAAGGGTATCTTCAGCTAAGAAATCAAAGAGGACATAATTATGAGTAGCCAGTTTTAGGTAATCGTGACTAGGTCTCTACTTCAAGCTCTTAGACCCATACGTAGATTTCCTATTTTGTTTCTCCCATCTGATAAATAACAGAATAATCCTTGACTGCCAGGAGCCAGGAACCAGGAACCAGGTGGGTGGGTGAGTCCCTGACGACCACGCTTGCTGAAGCATGCGGCACTGGAGCCTGTGCTACGCGGGGACACGCCAGCACAGTTTGCCACATGCCCCAGGCCAGGGGCTCTCAATAGGGGTGAACTGAAGCCCCCCTCCCTCACCAGGGATAGCTGGCAGTGTCAAGAGGTTCTGGGTTTGCCACAACTAGGGGGGAGCTACTCGTGGGCAGAGGCCGGGGACACTGCCGAACACCCTGCAATGCACAGGGCAGCCCCACGACCGCACCACCAAGAAATATCTGGCCCGAGATGTCAGCCGTGCTGAGGAGGAGACAAGCTGCCTTAGGGGAACTCACAGATGGAAGTCTCAAGGGTAGGGGTGGGGGACATGCAGGATGGGTCAAGGAAGGCACCCAACTGCCCTGAATTCCCATCAATGGGATTACAGACAACTGAAGGAGAGTAGTATTTCTCCAATCTCCCCTGGGTTCCACTGAAGAGGTTCTGTGAAGCTTTACGTGGAGCACACCACCGTGGGGAGGCCCAGGCTGACCCCCACTATTCCGGGAGCATCTAACCCGACTCCCATGTTACACAGAAAGCTGTCTGACTGACGCCAGATCAGCCCAGGCGAGGAAGGACCGGGGCGGCGCACAGATTCATCTGACTGCAAGACAGAACACCAGGAATGTAATTCCAGGACTTAACCCAAAGACAAGCTGGGCTACAGTAGCAGAAGGAATCTGGTAGTAATGTTCTCCAATTAACAGCTAGTTGCACATAGCAGATACACAAATAATGACTATCAATGACCAGTAAGGCTTTATGAGCATGTAAGAAGTATTTGTACCTTAAGTGCTTACAAACTGCTTCATTTCCACAGATGAAGAAACTGAGGCTCAGAGGACATGCTTCCAGAGCATCACACAAAGGCGCAGAGCAGCAGAGCCAGGATTTAAATTCAGACTCTGTGTGTCCCCAGAAAGCTGTTTATTTTTTAACCCAGACTGCCTCATAATTAAACATGATGGCTCTTGGCAGCCTGTGTTTTTGTCAGGCGTTGGTGCAGGACAGAAGCATAAGGAAAGGGAGGGGAAAAACTGTAACTAGCTACACTTCACTTAGAATCAAAAAGAAGATTTGGTCACAGTATCGAAAGCAAAAGAGAAGATAACTGTCCCATTGAGAAAAAACAGGTTCTTTGGACGTCTCTGATGAACTTTACTGCGAGAGCGGGCTGCCGAGGACTCTGTTCGGGTCGGAGAGAAGGTGCGCCCTGAGCATCTTCTGGAGGAGGACACGCACGTGGCACAAGAGAGCAGGAGCCTACGTGTGCAGCAGCTCATGTACGGAGCAGCGGGACGTGCCGCTCTGTGGCGAGTGCGGATCGGACAGGGAAGCGCCCCGCAGGAGCCCGTCTACACACGCGGGTAACGGCACACGGTGCACATGTGGCCTCCTCTGCAGACCAACCAGCATGGCGAAGAGAAACCGCGTGTTCCTTTCTAGTCATGCTCAAGTATTTCCATAAAACTATGGAAAGGCTTTTAGACTTAGAAACTTAAGGAATCGTGATTACTTTTATGACTGAAAAGATCTGAAAAATCTACCCTGTGTTAAAACAGGGTTGCCTTTTCCCTGTGGTCTTGAGGGTAAAATGGCATAGAAAAACAGTCACCCCAATAGCAACAACAGCTAATATACTGAGAGTTTACATTTGTCAGGCACTGTGCAGAGTTCTTTCCACACACTACCTCATTTAGACCGCCACAACTCTAGGAAGTAGATACGGTTATCCTCATTTTATAGAAGGGGAAACTGAGGCTAAGAAGTGTTAAGTAACTTGCACAAGTGGACACAGATGGTAAGGTGCATAGCAGGGTTTAACCACTAATGATGCGACAATTAAAATGTGCAAGGAACTATTGGCATTAACAAACATAAGGATAATTTCTGTTTCTCTTTGCCATTAAACTTGAGACGTCTGCCCCCCAAACTGTCTTGTCAGCTAAGTTAAAATGTAACAAACTGATTCGTATAATATTATACATGTATGCAGAATTATGCTCAGGGAGCTTAAATCGGAAAGGATACAGCAGACATAAACACTATTCTCTTTAGGTGAGTCTAGGACTAGAATTTTAGAATGCTAGATTAAAAATAATTAGATAGTACCTGGATATGGCAGAGAAAGCCTCCTCTATTTTCTACTTGAGGAAAAAACAGCTCTGCACAGAATGAGAGAAAGAAGTTCGCTTAAGGGTGAACTAAAAATATAGAATAAATGTAAATAAAACACACTAAAGTAGGAATATAATCGTGGAAAAAGGATGACAGAGAAAAAGAAGGTATTAAATGAAAGGTGCCTCCGTGAAGGTTCTAAAGGGGTTCAAGGTGTAGAGCATTTGCAGGCATGGCCAGCACCCCACTTAGGAAAGAGGATTATGGCTTAAGAGTTAGGGCAAGGGTGAGTATGTCGCTGGACTGGCACTGAGGCTACACAAAGGCCAGCAAGTGCATAAAAGGCACAATTTTACCTACTGGTAAGTGTAGGTCATCCAGACTGTCAACAACCCCAAATCTGAGTGATTGAAACCCAAGGAGCCCGAGAAGGAGGAGACTCGAGATAAGCTGATGCACTTTCATGCAAACAGAATCAAAACACCCTGCTTTCTCTCCAGGGTCCATTTATCAAGATAGAAGGGTTAGATTCGTGGTATAATTTTAGGTCTAAAAATAATACCAAACATGTTTTCACAAGAGAGACTGTTAGTGTCTGATAGTTCTAAGCTGGGAAGTGCTAATGGATATCCTTATGATGGGAAAAATTTAGGCAAAAATGAGTCATCTCCGCTGCCTTTAGATCCAGGAAGAACACTTTTTTTTTTTTTCAGGGACTCTGTATAAGAACAGGTGGCACAAATTCAAGTAGTAATAAATCATCCAAATGCTGCTTTTACTTCCACCCCTCACATGTTTCACTGCCTCCCACTTAATTTAGAGAAAAGGGAAGGGGGGCAGGAGAATCACGTGAGAAGGGCCAACAGCTTCCTGTCTTGGCAGCATGGCAGGCAAAACCAGTAAGCAGCAACACCTGCCTGTCAGCCCTGTTCTTGACACACAACAATCACGGAGAAAGGCTCACAAATCTTTGATATTATAAAGCCCATTAATTCACTCCATGATTAACTGTAGCCTGATTTGATTGTTTCCACTGGTAACATGAACTTCATTGAAAACACCAAAACGTTGACTGAAAAAGCAAGTGGAAGCACAGCTGACCTACAATCTGTTTCAGGTGTACAGCGCAGTGATCTGACAACTGTACACACTGCACCAAGCTCACTGTAAGTGCAGACGCCATCCATGATCACACAATATTAGCAGAGTATTATTTACTATATCCTCTAGGCTGTATTTTGCATCCCTATGACTTGTAACTGTAAGTTTGTACTTCTTAATCCCCCTTCACCTATTTCACCTAACCTCTCACCCCTCTCGCAACCACCAGTTTGTTTTCCGTATTCATAATTCTGTTTCTGTTCTGTTTGTTCGTTTTGTTTTTTATATTCCATGTGTAAGTAAAATCATATGGTATTTGTCTTTCTCTGTCTGCCTTCTCTCAGCCTAACGCCCTTTAGGTCCATCCGTGTTGTCACAAATATAAAACACCGCTGAAAGAAATCGAAGATGACACAAATGGAAAGATATACCATGCTTACGGACTGCAGGTATTAATACTGTTAAAGTGTCCGTACTACCCAAAGCAATCTACAGATTCAGTGCAAGCTCTATCAAAATAACAGTATTTTTACAGAACTGGAACACACAAAATGTGGAACCACGAAAGACCCTGCACAACCAAAGCAATCTTAAGAAGAACAAAGCCAGAGGTATCACAATTCCAGATTTCAAGATACGCCACAAAACCGTGATAATCAAAATAGTACGATAGAAGCACAAAACAGACACACAAATCAATGGAACGAGATACAGAGCCCAGAAATAAACCCACACTCATATGGTCAATTAATCTATGCCAAAGGATGTAAGAATATATAATGGGTAAAAGACAGTCTTCAATAAATGGTGTTGGGAAAACTGAATAGCTATATGCAAAAGAATGAAAGTGGACTTTTTTTTTTTTTTAATTTTAATGTTGATTTATTTTTGAGAGGGAGAGACAGAATGTGAGCGGGGGAGGGGCAGGGAGAGAGGGAGACAGAATCTGAAGCAGGTTCCAGGCTCCACGCTGTCAGCACAGAGCCTGATGCAGGGCTTGAACCCACGAGACATGAGATCATAACCTGAGCCAAAGTTGGCCACTTAATTGAGCCAAAGTTGGCCGCTTAACTGAGCCACCCAGGTTGCACAAAAGTGGACTGCTTTCTTATATCATACACAAAATAAAATCCCTGTCCTTTAGATAACCTCACGATGCACTGAACTGGTATGCTGCTTACCGTGGTCCAAGATATAAAATACATTGTTCTTCACGCTGCATTTTCTCCAGGGCTTTGTCAATTCCAATTGGAATGTCATGGTCTTCTCCTTCCCCAACGATGAATACCACATCTCTACAATCAAACATCCTTCCGTCACAGCGGCCTTCCAGGTGGACTGAGGGAGAGGAGACAGGTCAGTCACAAAGCTGCTCCACAGGACTGGCTCATTTAGGGAAGTGATAAACGATGATTTCCCCTTTCTCATTTCATCTAGTGACAACTGGGGTATGTCCTGTTGACACTTCTCTGCCCACTCTGAAAATTTAAGACCCATCCTATTTCTAAGTTTAAACTTAAAATTACCAGTAACTGTATCAATATGATAGCTTAGCGGATAATAAAACAAAGTGGAAACATAGGTTTAATTTAAACCTACCTTATAAGAGAGATTTCCTCACCTATAACATAGGATCAAGAAATACTAGAATATTTGATAACTATCAAGGTGCACAAATTTAATTATCAACTATATAAGGGGGGCAACATTTATAACTCCATCTTGACTCCAGAGGCTTAGATGAAAAACAACCAAATGGCTATTTCCCCAAAGATATACAAAAGTTAACTGAATAGAAAAGTTTTTTTTTTTTTTTTAAAGAGTCTGAATCTCATTCCCAATATATTTGAGTAAAAACAGAAAGCCCAGAGCCAACATCATCAATAACTATACCATAGCTCTATCCCTTCATGGAGTGATAAATGTGAAGTGTGAAGGAATCATTAGTCTACTATAACTTCTTAAATCAAATTACCTAACCACCTCTTCTGAAATGTTAAGAGGTCAATTTCTTGGGGCCTAATTTCTCACTTCACTCAAACTCACTCAGCTCATTTCCAGGGTAATTTCATAACAGATAAGGAGCTTTTATGTTTCTTCAGAACAAAACAAGAAAAATGGATCGAGAGATATATATTTTTCTTGATCCATTAGACTTTTTTCCCTAGAATAAACAATTCTCTGAATCTTCCCAACTACTTTTCATATTAAAGATTCGTTCTTTTCCATTTAGGTCTTTGACTCAGTAAGAAAAACGAATGGCTCATACAATAGCACAACAGTCACCAAATAATACAGTAATTTGTCTTTCATAAGAAAATTATTTACTCTAGCTTCTATAATACCATGGACTAGATTAAGATGTACCAATTTCCTCAAATGCTTCTTTTCTAACACTGGTTTCTCTACTTTAACTGGCTTTAGGGAGACTAAAAATCACTTGCTCTAATCTACTTGTTTCATGAGACAATTATGATTTTTGAAATACAAATTCAAGTCCAACTTACTCTACTTGTGAACTATGTGATCTCAAAGGTCCTCTGAAGCTCTAAAATCCTGTGAATCTATGACCCAGTGATATAGTTCTCGATATAGGCCAGAAACCAGCTTCAAAGCTAATTCCATGGTTAATCATTTCATCAGGTTACCTTTATCCCAGACCTGAAAAATGATACCCTGAAAAGTAAACAGTGGTGGTATAGACATCAAGAGCTACAGTGTCACATGGACATTATGCTTTGAAGCTCTCTACCTTGTCTGATTTACTAGGATTAATGCCACCCTGATGTGTTTACATCGCAGACACAGGATGAAGCTGGAGAAGCTTCAGCCAAATTAGAGAGGGACGGGACTCTCCAAACAAGGGGAAGAAATACATTGGCTTTCAGGGCGAAGCTGACATATAGGAAGTTTGCTCTATGTCCCACAGTCATAAATGTAGATGATTTTCTCTATTACAGTCACTTTTGGAATGCTCTAGATAAAATGAAACTCAAATCATTTTATAGCACACTGAAAATCCTTAAAAAAATTTTTTTTCAATGTTTTATTTATTTCTGAGAGAGAGAGAGAGAGAAAAAGCGTGAGCAGGGGAGGGTCAGAGAGAGAGGGAGATTCAGAATCTGAGGCAGGCTCCAGGCTCCGAGCTAGCTGTCCGCACAGAACCTGATGTGGAGCTCGAACCCATGAACTGTGAGATCATGATCTGAGCCAAAGTCGGAAGAAAATTCTTTTTAATTGGAAGTATTTTCAAAATAAATTTAACTGTATTATTTTCAAATACGTACTAGAGAGGTTCTGCAGGGAGTCTAAGGTTTAAGATATTTTTACTAAAATAAATAAAAGCTGATGTTCTAAAGGAATTGAGAGTCCTGAAAAGTTTATGCTCTTAAATATTTTAAACTCTGCCTAGGAAATACATTAAAAAAAACTTTCTTAAATGTTTTATTTATTTTCGAAAGAGAGAGAGCCAGCATGAGCAAGGGAGGGTCAGAGAGAGAGGAAGACACAGAATCCGAAGACAGGTTCCAGGCTCCGAGCTAGCTGTCAGCACAGAGCCCATGCGGGGCTCAAACCCATGAACTGTGAGATCATGACCTGAGCCAAAGTGGGACGCCCAACTGACTGGCCCACCCAGGTGCCCCAGCCCAGGAAATTTAATATAGACTAATGCGATGATACTTTTCATGAGAAAAAAAATGGCTGAGCAAAGTGACTTTCCCATGAATTGTGGAATATTCTCAAGTATTGAGATTTATGATCCTGCTACCTCACAACTTAGCTGACAGATTTTTCTGTCTGAGGTTTATTGTTAGAAGTATCTTCCTCCCCAAAGGAGAGTACGTTTAGTGGGGGAGGAAACTATCAGTACATTCATTGTGGTTTTTGGTTGATCAAGTTTGAATGTGTTTTCAAAACAGGAAATCCAGAGACTGCAAAAGATTCCTGCCTGTGTGTCAGTTTCCTAGGCTCATTTTCAGCTTGATGCATGTACTTGATGTTAAAATTACATAAATAATTTCAGGAGTTTTCTTTACATGGGACAACCCATCATATTAGGGAAAAAAACTGGCTACTTATTAATAAACATATTGAGAAAGTAAGTGAAGCAAGTAAGCCCCCCTCCTACTCCCCCTGAAAGGTTCAAACTATAATGAAGGCAAGCACACTATAATGAAAGCAGCTGGCCTAAGAGAGACAATGAATGATGGAATCAATGTTTATGGCCACCTGGTAGAAAGGTAAACCTCTACAATGACTCTATACTTACTTACTACCTTATATATGTACTAATCTTATTTCTGGTAAATCTAACTCTTCTAAGTTGGACCTGAACACTATCTACAGTACCCTAAAATCTGAAACTGATACATGCATGTGCACAAACACACATACACCAGTTCACATGTAAATATAAAAAACCAGTACCTTTTTAAAAAATTTTTTTAAAAAATTTATTTCTGAGAGAGAGAGAGAGATATGGCGCGAGCAGGGGAGGGTCAGAGAGAGAGGGAGACACAGAATCTGAAACAGGGTCCAGGCTCCGAGCTGGCTGTCAGTACAGAGCCCGATGCGGGACTCGAACCCATGAACCATGAGATCATGACCTGAGCTAAAGTCGGATGCTTAACCGACTGAGCCACTCTAGCACCCCAAACCAGTACCTTTTTTAAAAAACTATTTTACTTTATTTTAGAGAGAGAGCGAGAGTGTGGGCAAGAGAGAGAGGTGGGGGGGGGAGGAGGGAGGGAAAGAGAGGGACAGACAGACAGAGAGGGAGAGAGGGAGGGAGAGAGAGAATATCTTAACCAGGCCCCATGCTCAGCGCAGAGCTCAATGTGGGATTCAAGCTCATGACCCTGGGATCATGACCCGAACCAAAATCAAGAGTTGGATGCTCAACTGACTGAGCCACCCAGGCGCCCCCAAACCACTCCTTTTAATCTGGAATATCAGAGTAAGAAGGTATCACAGCCTGAGAGGTATACAGCCCACTGATTAAGTCTACAAGTAGTGAAGGCTATCGCTCTGTTAACTGGTTTGTAAGCCTGGAACACTGGTGTGACAAGTTCTACAAGACTGCTGACAAGAACTCACACACCACCCGGGGGCCACAGAAACGCCACGAACTGCCTGCCATCGTAGGGCCCCTTCACGGTGATAGATGCAAACCTGCCTGGCTCTTACAGATCCAGTGCCCGCCCCCCACCCCTTTTTTAATTGTCTCAACAACTGGCACCAAAGGAAACCGGCAGCTCTGGCTAAGGAAGACCTGTGGTTGCTTTTGACCTTACATCTCTTAGTGCAAATACTCACTTAATAAATATTTAATAATAACCATCATGACTCACTGGGAGCTCAGCCTCTAGGGCTCAGGAGGTCTGTTGCTAATTCCAACCAGCATGATTTACGGGAAGTAAATGATCTATGACGTGCCCAAAGAGAATAAAAGTACATACAGGATGCTTCTACTTAGGGCTTTTTTGGTAAAGGAAAAAAATACACAAGTTAAAAAGGAACATTTTCCCTTGACTTAAAGTCTATGTAACTTAGAGAGGGAAGGTCCTCCAGAGCCCATGAAGTCAAACCAAATGAAATTACCCGAGCTTTGCTGCGCAATCCGAGTGTAACCACATCAAGTAAGCCGGGTCTGCTGCAAAACATCACTTAAACTGGAGCTCTGACTTATTGTTCTCTTACTGCCCTAGAGCAATTTTGTTTTGAAGAGCACAGAACACCCTGTTCTGAATGTGGCTGGCACATGAACTCAATGTGCTGACAGCAATTTGTACTCCGATTAAAATAGGGGGGAAAAGGAAAGAGAGTGTACTGCAGTCACAAAAACTGGAATGCAAGAACCAAAAACTGTAGAATTTGTATTTTAGGAAGCAAAACTGAGAAGGAGGCTCCATAACCTTAAAAAAAAAAAAAAAAAAAGTGCTGTAAATGTTCCAGCCTAAAGACGTTAGCTCTGGTAAGTGTGTGTTTTTCCCTTTTCTAATTATAGCAGTTGGTGTCTGATGGCTTTGCACTCGCTCCCCAAACAATGACTGGGCCCTGGGGTCTGAATGGGAGTGCTGTAATGGCATCACTACTAGACAAGACTGGTCATCTGGCCGGAGAAACCCGGGCTGTGACAGGTTACTCCCACAAGACAAGGGGTTTTTCTGCCACCTAATTCACGTCAAATGAGTTTCTCTCTGCCTGCCTAATAGAGCAGAACATCCAAGAGACTTTGGATTCTTAATGACTCCCTGAAAAGGCAAATAAGGAACCAGAGATGAATTTGTCACATCAGGAGAGGCATATTCATCACTGACTGGAAGAGAAACTGTTCC